TCCCCTCCCCTCCCCGAGCTCCAGACAATCCAGGCATCCCGGCTCCCAGCCCCGCCCCCTCTAACTGGGCACCCAGCACCCCGTAGCGCACCGCTCCGTGCTCTCGGGCCCCGCCTGGGAGGTGCCGGCCCCCGGAGTCTGTAATTAGTCAGTCGTTAATCACCGGAGCGTCATCAGAGGCGCCAGGCTGGATTCCAGCCCGCTGAGTCCAGGCAGAACCCAGGTGTCCGGGACACTGGGTGGGCCAACCCCGGCCTGCTCCCAGCTCTCCCCCCGCCCCCGCATCTTCTCCCCACCAAGCCTGGGGGTGACTGTTACCAGGAGGGGAAACTGAGGCACAAAGGGGAACCCGGCCCTAGGGGAAAGGGCTGGGACGGAAGCCAGGCATCCTGGCCCCACCTTGTTCTAACCTAGTTTTCACTTCCCTCCCAGGGTGGGGAGAGGACCCAGGTGTCTGGGCTCCTGGCTCCGGCCTGTTCTTACCCCAGTTGACATCATTTCCATCCCTGAATGGGGACAGAGCCCAGGCGTCCGGGCTCCCAACCCCCCGCTCTCACCCACCAGCATCACTCCTGTCCCGGGCATCCCGGGAGTGGGGCCTAGGGGGTGAGCGCGGGGGCTGGGAGCCCAGACACCTCGGTGCTCTGCCTGTGCCTAAACCCCGGGTCCAGGCAGAGGCTGGACCCACACCCAGCTGCTTTGTTTCCACCCCAGCCTGGACCCCACAAGAGCTGCCACTTCTGTTCTACTTGGCTGCCCACATGGCCCACCCCAGAGCCAGCCACATTTCAGCCCCGTGTCCCAGAGGCACCCATGTCTCTGTTCTACTCAGCTGCTGACACCCCCACCCCAGAGCTGGCTGCATCCCAGTGCCTGGCCCTGTACCCCAGCCCCTGCCCTACCCCAGAGCTGGCTGCATCTGCTCTACTCGGCCACTGGCACAGCCCCCCACCCAAAGAGCCAGCTGCAACACAGACCTGGATCCCCGGCCCCCATGCCCCCAGAGCTACCTGCTTCCCAGCAAGAGGCCCCATGTCCCCAGCACCCCCCCATAACAGGCCCCAGGCCCAGATACTGGGGTGACGGACTGGTCAGACTGGTCCCCCCAGGTCTTGGCAGGGCTGGGAATCCTGGAGAACAAGTTCCCAGGGCTCTGTTGACAGCACAGGGCCTGATCCTGGCTTGATCCTGTTTCCTGGGGGGGGGCAATCTTTCACCCAGCCTTTCCATGGGCCGTGCTCTGCTCAGCCACGGCCTGCTGGCTCCACCCCAGAGTTCGCTGCATTGTGGCTCCTGGCGGGGGGTAGGGGACCCCGATCCTAGCCCTGATGCTCCCCTCTCCCCAATTCTTCCCCTGCAGTCTCGCTGGGGGGCTATGCCCTGCATAGGGACCCGGAGCCCTCGGTGGCTGAAGCTCCCTCGTCCCCCCTGGACATGACACTACGGGACGGCGGCTTCGGGGTCCCTCAGCTGCCCGGAGAGATGGGGCCACCCCCCCCGCAGCCCCCCACCTTCCTGCGCCCCAAGAGGAAGGTAAGGGCGGCCCTTCCCCCAGCCGTGCTGGTGCCCCTCACTCCACACCTGGAGCTCTGACTCTGGACTGGAGCACACCTGACTCTGTCCCCCGCCCCGGCGCAGGTGATGGGCGACCCCAGCCCGGTGCTCTTGTGCCCCGTCTGCCAGAAGAGCTTTGGGCACCAGCGGATGCTAACGCGCCATCTCAAGTGCCACAGCGAGGTGAAGCGGCACCGGTGCCCGTACTGCGCCAAGGGCTTCAACGACACCTTCGACCTCAAGCGCCACGTCCGCACCCACACCGGTGAGCCACTGCCCCTTTAAGGGAAGCCCCACCCCCTTGGTGGAGCCACGCCCCTTTAAGCCAGGACCCTACACTCATGTACAAGTAGGCCACGCCCCTTTGCCCAGAAGCCACGCCCCTCCGACAGGGGGAGAGAACCCCTCAACACTCACCGCCACACTCACTCGTACAAGTCGGCCCCCCACTTCGCTGGAAACCACGCCCCTTGCTCAGAGGCCCCTCCCCCTACCAGAGGCCACGCCCCTCCCCAAGACGCCCCTATAAGCTAGATTCCCGCCCCGTGAATGGATACCTCCTCCCTGTGGCAGGCCACGCCCCTTCCCAAAGGCCGCGCCCCCTCCGCCTGGCCCCGCCCATAGCAGCAGTTTAAACCCCGCCCCCTTTGGTGCCACGTCAGGGGAGGGCTAACCCCCCCACCCAGGCCTAGATGGGGCATTAACCCCTTCCATGCCGCATTAACCGGGTTAACCCTGCATGTGCCGAACGGGGGGGGGGGGTTAACCCTTGAGGGGCTGGGGCCCACTAACCAGCGCCCCCCGCAGGCGTGCGGCCCTACAAGTGCAGCCTGTGCGAGAAGGCCTTCACGCAGCGCTGCTCGCTGGAGTCGCACCTCAAGAAGATCCACGGGGTGCAGCAGCGCTACGCCTACAAGGAGCGCCGGGCCAAGCTGTACGTGTGCGAGGACTGCGGCGCCACGGCCGACAGCCACGAGGCCCACGTGCTGCACCTGCGCCAGCGCCACCCCGACAGCCCCCTGCTGCACAAGGCCACCCGCAAGGCCCCAGCCCTCGGCCCCGGGCCTGCCCCCAGCCTGCCCCACGGCGCCCAGGGCCCCTGAGACGGACGCTGGGCCCTGTGGCTGGAGGAGACACGGCGTCCCCTGCTGGCCAGGCTACATGGTGCCCCCCAGCCCCTTATGGGAGGCAGGGTCCCAGGAGCTGGCGCCCCCAAATGGACCATCCAGATGGCGCCCCCTGCTGGCTGTATGGGAGATGGTGCCCCCTGCTGGCTAGAGGAGACACGGTGCCCCCTGCTGGCAAGGGCAGATGGCGCCCCCTGCCCCACACCCCTGCCACTATATGGGGGGGTCCCAGGAGCTGGTGCTCCCGATGGACTGTTCAGATGGCACCCCCTGCTGGATGGCACAGGTGCTGCCCCCTGCTGGCTGTATGGGAGACGGTGCCCCCTGCTGCTTGCCCGGGGGTCCAGGAGCTGGTACCCTCCGATGGACCCCCCCATGGTATCCTCTGCTAGCTAGAGGGCAGATGGCGCCCCCTGCTGGCAGTCTGGGGTCCAGGCGCTGGCACCCCCTGCTGGGGTACCCATGGTGCCCCCTGCTGGCAATCTGGGAGACGGCACCCCTTGCTGGGCCGCACAGACCCTGCCCCCCCTGCTGGGGGTCTGGCTGGGGGAGGGGC